CCTCTTTACAATCAGTAGATAACGAACACCCAGACTCAGAATCGAAGGACGAAGGTGATACTGGTTATCAAGCATTTCTGAAAGCAGACGAAACTAAACTGGGTCCTACGAAGAACATTGCCGAGCGAACAGGAGATCTGTTTTCTTTAGATGCTAGAATCTCATTAGCTCATTGTGTATCCGCAGATTTTAAATCGAGGAAAGGAATCGGATTCGAATTCCGAAACCGATTTGGAAAAGTTAATGAACTTCGTCGACAAAAATGTCAAATAACAGAGATTGCAACAATCGATGTGAACAATCGTCATGTGTTTTATATAATCACAAAAGAATACTTCTGGCAAAAAGCAAGTTATGAAATTCTATTTCAAAGTCTTCAGAACCTCAAGTCAATCTGTCTCAAGTCAACCTAGATGGACTGAAGTGGGAAGTCGTACGAAATATATTAAGGTATATTTTCCGTGACTCTCCTGTGTATATTCAGATATTCACCCGCGATGAGTAACGGCAGATAACAAACTACAGATTATCAAGGAATTTCATGAAAATCCACTTGGGAGACATCAACGTACATACAATAAAATTGCACAGCAGTACCAATGGCAGGGCATGAGAGCACAAATCCGGAAATATATAAAGAAATGCCTTGTATGTCAAATCAACAAAACTCCAAACCAGACCATCAAGGAACCTATGGTGATAACAACTACTGCTTCGAAACCATTCGAAAAAATATTCATGGACATTGTAGGGCCACTCAACAAATCTTACCACGGAAATTCATATATTTTAACTTTGATCGATGATTTTTCAAAGTTCACATGGGCGTGTGCCATGAAGGATTATGAAGCAAAACCTTTTTACTCAATTTGTATGTCTGCATGATCAACCTGAATCTCTAGTGACGGACTGTGGAACTGAATTCCTTAGTAAGGTTTTCAAAGAAGTATGCATACTCTTAAATATCTCTCAAACATCAATTAATCCGTATCATCCTCAGAGTAATGGCAGTTTAGAGACAAGTCATAGAACCCTTGGTGAATATTTGAGGAACTACTCTGGAAAAAATCCACAAAACTGGGATGTACATGTTCCTTATGCAATGCACTGTCATAATACTCATAATTCTTCAGTACACACCTCCATAGGGTTTCAACCACATGGAGTCGTGTACGGATAAAAAGTACAAAATGAAACGTCTTATGCAAGAAACGTATCAGATGGTAACAGAGCAACAGATGAAATTGAAACAGATATCGCAGGAGCGATATGATCTTACAGCTTTGCCTTTGCAACTCAATGAAGCTGATAAAGTCATAGTGCAAGAAAAAACAAGTAAAGGAAAATTAGCATCTAAGTGGTTAGGGCCATTCACAGTGGTGGAAACTAATGCAAACTCTCCGAATGTGACCATATAAAAAATAAATAAACATGTAAAATTGCACAAAAATCTCTTGAAGAAATTTCATGAATGAAATCTAAATTGTGTTTCAGAATCTCACTGATATGCTGTGGACTTTCAAACACTCAGAGCGGACGTTTTCAAGTTACTTCATTCCAGAACTCATCAGGCTTATAGTTTGAAGCAATGGAACCTCTTCACATTATCTTACACAAATTTGGATTTCATTACTTACGTGAATCTGACAACTTATTACATGAAGTACCAAATACTCCAGAAACTCCATGATCAGACGGGCGACGTTTGTATTCAACTGAAAAAAAGAGAGGACTCGATCTTGACTAGTGCGTGTACGGATTACATGCAATCCACGTTCCCGTTCATGCAATAAATTGAATCAAATTTCAATTCTGTCATACGAATCCTTGGGTCAAACCACAGAACCTCTGAACATCCGAATCGACAACCTCGTGGGTTGATAAATGCAGTAGGAAGGCAAGCAAACATTCTTTTTGGAGTTTGCTCTGATCAGGATGTCGAATTCTTTTACAAAAACATCGAAGACTTATCTCGTTCCGAGGACAAACATGTTTATCTATCACAGAAACAGAAACGCATAGTCTCTTCAGTCATGAATAATGTTAATTCTACCATGCATGAACTACTAGCAAATGATCAGAAATTGCAGGAGAATATAAACAAAATAGAGGAACAATAAAGGCGTTCTGTAGCAACATTCAATGTATTGGAAATACAAAACACCTTCCTGGAACACACTGCAATATTGACAGTTTTTCTATACCAATTCGCTTGGGAAACTCAAAACCTCCAATCCATTCTTAACTCAGCATTAAATAGATTGATGCATCAAATAGACAAATGTATACTCCCCATCTCAATTGATTCACGAACTTAAGCAAATACAACTGACATTACCGTCTACACTAGAGCTACCTATAACTGAATCTCATTTATCCATTCCTGAATTATTCCGAACATCATAGTTAAGCGTAGTGTACATCCAACAGAATCTCGTATTTGTGACCCGGATACCCTTATTTTCAAATCTTCGGGTACCTACAAATAAAGGTAATATAGTTATCATTGAACCACAAGCTCAGTACTTGGCAATAAGCGATACTAACGAATATCATTTCAGTCTAACCGACGATCATTATGAAAAATGTGAAAAATTGTTCTCTTTTAGGTTATGTGTAAATCCTGAGGCTATCAGTAAATTTATACATCAGGAAAATTGTGAGTTATCTTTGTACAATTCCGCGTATCAAACGATAGGAGCGTGTAATTCCAAATATATGAACCTCAATACTACAATCTGGCATAAGCTTTATCTGCAAAACGCGTGGTTATATTATTGCATTTCGCATGCAGTGACAGTTACATGCGCACAAAACTCTAGCAGAATCCTACTTACGGGTACAGGAAAATTTCAAATTTCCAATAATTGCGTTATATATACAGAAAATCTGATCTTAACACCATCCAGAACCCTATCATCAGAAATTCATAGAGATTTCGTTCCAGAAAATCTGAAGCTGCACGCATTATTAAAAATACCGGAAATAATTAACAGTCATGTTCCCGAGCAAATTGATACTAATAAATATTTCAAAAATTTTAATCAGTTAGCTGAAGATGATGAAAAACTGAAGGAATTATCTAAATTGTACAACGATACCAAAATATTTGTAAATCCAGACCATTTTATTATAGTTTATATTATTGTTATTTTAATAATAGTTGTAAGTCTGTACATGTTGATTAAATATAAGTGTAATCTACCCCGACTTTACAGACCGGAAGTAGCAGAGTGTGTGCAACCCACACACTCCCATACTAATTCTAAAAGCTTCAGAGCTTCGGAACTCACGGATGAGGTGAAACATGGTGATCATTATATCCCCATGCTTCATGTAGTCCGGGGGGTGTTGTGAACCCCTGTCTGTATGCTATACACAGTAAGAGATATAGTAATAGTATAATATAGAATAGTGTGTAAGCATATTAATCTGTGAACAGACAGAGTCACACGGACTAAGGGAATTCGCTGTGTGGACAGTTTTGAGCACGAACGAGCCCCTTACCGTGTCTCGCTGTCTGTGTAATAGGCAGTGTTGAACTGGCAGACCATCGAGCAGAACCTCTGTTAATTACTTAAGTCTAATAAGTATTAGTATTTTATACGAATATATATATATTTATACTGCTTATAAAAAACATGCAACATGCCCCTTTTTTTTTTTTTTTTTTTTTTTTTTTTTTTTTACATTCAAGACTCACTAAATTTTAATTTATGATACTTCAACATTTTAACACTGTAAACAATATGTATACTATCACTAAGTAGCTTTTAAAAAGTTTTTATAGTTGCCTAATATTTTGATAAATAATTTAATAACATCAGACATAAAGAATATATTTAAATAAATATAATGCTACTAATAAGTATTTAAATTATTTTTTAGTTAATTTCAGTTTGATCTTTTTCCGACAATTATTTTGCTTTGCCTTGGGCAGCAACAGCTTCGATTGTTTTTTTGACAGTCTCTTCATCACCCAAAAACTTCATTGAAACCACAGGTTTAAAGTTTTCATCTAATTCATATTCAAATGGTATACCAGTTGGTAAATTAAGACACATGATTTGGTCTTCTGTCAAATTGTCCAAATGTTTGACTATTCCTCTAAGACTGTTTCCATGAGCCGCTATCAATATTTGTTTTCCTTCTTTTAACTGGGGAATAATAACATCATTCCAATAGGGCAATGTCCTTTGAATTGTCAATTTCAATGATTCAAACATAGGAAACTCTTCCTTTAAAGGTTCATCTTTGTAGCGAGGGTCATTTACGATTTGATCATAGTATGCATGGTCGGTATCCATGGCCGGTGGGGGAGTGTCAAAACTACGTCTCCATATTTGAACCTGTTCTTCGCCATATTTGGCTGCAGTTTCAGATTTGTTCAATCCAGTAAGGCCACCATAGTGTCTTTCATTCAAACGCCAAGTTTTTGATATCGGAATGTCTTCTTGGCCAAGTTCTTTCAATATTGACCCCAGAGTGTTTTGTGCCCTCTTCAACACAGATGTATGGGCCAGGTCAAATTTGTAGTTGCCTTGTTTCAATGCTTTACCGGCGTTTGCTGCTTCCTCTTCACCTTTAGGGCTCAACGAAGCATCGTACCATCCGCAAAACAAGTTCTTTTGGTTCCATTCACTTTCACCATGTCTGACCATCACTACCTTGTACTTGGCCATCGTCTTTCGTATGAAAATCGGAAGTTTGGAAATATTGACACTTTTCTAAACTCTTTTAGTGAATCATACCCACTGGCAGTCATATAAATATTGAAGTCTTGTATCCATTCATTCCAGTTTTGGCATAAATTACCTTCCACAGATAGTGGCGGTAGATTACCAGTCAATCCAGTCATATTGTGGTTAAATTGGTATTGATGATATTATGGAGATGACGTAAAAAAAATGAAAAATGAAAAAAAAAAAAAAACGTGCTTTTTTTTTTACATGACGATACACAATGGATAACGACAGTTAGGTTAGGTTACCTATGGTGAGATGACGTTATTTTATTCTACGGAAGACACAGGATCGATGACACCTGACACCATGTTGTATTACTTTATAAAATGTCATATTCATATCAACAATGAGGTTGAACCTATTATTGATGCACCCCGTAAAATTCCTTTTGCTCTGTATGAACAACTTCGTAAAGAACTGGATAATATGTGTTATTTAAAAGTTATAGAGAGAATTGCATCACCAACGTCATGGGTTAGTTCAATAGTCATAGTGAAGAAGAAAAATAATAAATTAAGAATATGCTTAGATCCTAGAAATTTGAATAGAGCAATTAGTCGGTCACATTACCCTCTTCCTACTTTTGAGGCAGTTAAAACTCAATTGAGTGGCACTAAATTTTTTTCAACACTAGATGCCAACTCGGGGTTTTGGATGATACCACTTGATGAAAAAAGCTCTGAGCTCTGTACATTCAATACACCTTTCGGTAGGTATAAATTTCTCAGGTTGCCATATGGTCTTAACTGTGCACCTGAAATTTTTCATCGTATTATTACTGAACTGTTCTCTGATATTGTTGGAGTTATTGTATATATTGATGACTTAATTATAACAGGTACAACTCTAGAAGAGCACAATCAACGACTTAAGAAAGTGTTGGACAGAGCAAGGGAAGTTAATCTAAAATTTAATAAAAGTAAATGTATAATAGGTGTTACTGAAGTAAAATTCTTGGGTCATGTTTTTAATAGTGAAGGGGTTAAACCTGATCCTGATAAAATTAAAGCCATTGTCAATATGCCTTCTCCCAAGTCAGTTAAAGATTTACAAAGATTTCTGGGCATGATAAATTATTTAAGTTCATATATTCCTAAATTAGCTGATGAGACAACACTTTTGCGATCACTGCTTAAAAAGAATACATCATGGGTATGGGATGAAAACTATGAGTCTATGTTTAACAAGGTTAAAAACAGTATTACAACTGCTCCTGTCTTATCTTATTATGATCCGTCGATACCACTAACATTGTCAGTTGATGCATCTCAATTTGCAGTTGGAGCAGTCATTTTACAGAACGACAAGCCTTGTGCTTACGCTTCACAAACCCTCACTTCTGCACAACAAAACTATGCTCAAATAGAAAAAGAATTGTATGCAATTGTTTTTGGTTGTAAAAGGTTTCACCAATACTTATACGGTCAGGTTGTCAAAGTTCAAACAGACCATAAGCCTTTAGTTTCACTGTTCAGAAAGGCTTTACATTCAGTCCCTACTAGATTACAGCGTATGATGTTAAATATTCAGTCTTATCATCTTAATGTTGAATATGTCCCTGGTAAACTCATGGTATTAGCTGATACATTGTCAAGGGCCCCACTTCCTGACTCAGATGAGGACAATATAGATGAAGAATTAATCTTGCAAGTTCAGGTATTTTCTGAAAATCTAGCCATAGGGAAACAATATCTTGACAAAATAAAAAATGAGACTTTAAATGATTCAATATTTCAGAAAATTAAAAATATCTGCAAGTCAGGATGGCCTTTAAATAAGTCTCTTCTTGAAAATTCTCTCAAACCTTTTTGGACTTTCAGAGATGAAATTCATGTTATTGATGACTTAGTCTTTAAGGGTAATTGTCTAGTGGTCCCTACTAAACTTAGGTCTGACATGTTAAAACTTATTCATGAAGGTCACATGGGCATTGAACGTTGTAGAAATCAAATAAAAGATGTATTATTCTGGCCAGGTATAAGCAATGACATTAAAAATATTGTAGAAAGTTGTGAGGTGTGCCTTAAGTATCGGAACAACAATGCTAAGGAACCAATGATTAGTCATGCTGTACCAGACCTACCTTGGCAAAAACTAGGTATAGATTTATTTCACCACAATGATAAAACTTATTTATTGGTAGTCGATTACTATTCAAAATTTATTGAAATAGCACATTTGTCCAAGGGTTCACATGCAAAATTAGTTATTACTCAATTAAAATCTATTTTTGCCCGATTTGGTATACCGATGGAGATAATATCGGATAATGGACCACCTTTTAATGCTGCTGAATTTAAATTGTTTTGTTCGGATTGGGGTATAAATATTGTCACTTCTAGCCCAAACTATCCACAGTCTAATGGATTAGCAGAAAGATGTGTACAGATAGTGAAAAAGTTACTTAAAAAGTCCTCGGATACAGGTACAGACCCATACATTGCATTAATGCAGTATCGTAACACTGCTAACAATAGTTTATGCTCTCCTGCACAGCTACTTATGTCAAGGAATCTTAGAACTAAGATTCCTATCAAATTGTCTAGTCTGAAACCAAAATTAGTGGAAGTAGAAAATCACAATAAACAAATTTCCACCAAAACTGATAAAGTAATGTCCCATTATAATAAAAATACCAAGCAATTGTCCCAATTAAAGCAAAATGATAAAATATTATTTAAAATTAAACCTAACAGTACGTGGAGTAATGGTAAAATAGTTGAAGTCTGTGCTCAACCTAGATCCTATAGAGTTGAAGCAGATAATGGTAAAATCTATAGAAGAAATAGAAAGTTTATTATTAAATCTGCATTAAAATCTGAAAATAAAAATAAAAATGAAAAGTCTATTGAAATCAATTTACAGGCAGAGACAAAAAATAGGTTTGGTAGAAATATTGTTAAACCAAAAAGATTCTTAAACTAAACGTTAATAATAATTTCTGATGTATAACTTAATATTTGTTATTTTAAAAAAAAAAAAAAAAATGTTATTATTTCTTATGTATAATAATCTATAATAATTATTATATGTGTATTGGATAAAAAAAAATTTTAAAAAATTAAATGTTTTATCTTAAATGTGTTGTTATTCGATTTAATATATCGTGATCATATGGCGTAGTCGTTTAGTACGTATAAAATAATTTAAAATGTTTTTCAGGTAGTAGGTTAGTAAGTATGTACTGGGTGATTCTTTTATCGAACAACACTCATTATTTCAAAAAGTGTAATTTTTTTTGAAGATATTTTTTTACATAGTTTCAAGTCGTTTATAAAACAACGTTTTTATTAAAAAATTATATTTTTAATTATTTTTCATCCTTATAATTTTTTAAGTTTTTTACTTTTTTGAATGACAACATAGGGTTTTAATTTTATATTCTAAAGTAGAATATTTTTCTTAGTATTTTGATACATGAAAATTGAATTTGGGGTGAGTAGTTTATGAGTTATAAGTATTTAAAGTTTAGACGAGCGGAGTGGAGTGGTTCGGGATTACCCCGCGAAATGTTTGTCCACTTCACCGCTCGTCTAAACTTTAATTACTTATAACTCATAAACTACTCAACCCAAATTCGATTTTCATCTGTGTGTATCTGTTGAACTGAGCTGCCTGTCCTGGGATGAAATCTTGAAGACTGATGAATATTAGCGAATTCCCTCTGTCTTTTATACACAGATTTTTCCACTAATTCAATAATGTAATATACAAATGTCCATAGCCTTACCTTACAGAAACCGGTAGAAACATGTACACAGAGGTGCAACAGCAGATTACATTATATGAATGTAAATTATTACAAACAGGATTTAAAATGAATTAAAAAATGTGTACATTCATTCCCAAAAACCCATTACAATATATGAATCTAAATTGTTGCTAACATAACCTGTTCAGCCAAATGTTTTTACATTTACTAAATGTCAATGCCATTAAAATATGAAAAAAGAATATATAATATATTAAAATGTTTAAATCCATTTCAAAAAAGTTTCTGATGTGAACAGAGAGGGGCTATTTTCGGGTATAAAACACAAAATATCTTGGCTTATCGTCATCAGTTCAAGCAACAGCAGTTCCAAGAGCAGTTCACAGCAGTTCCAAGAGCAGTCAGCAGCAGAACAGCCTTCTTCGCCAACCAACAATCAGCCAGCAGATAACCAAATCTCTTCAACAAATAGCAACCAGTCAAAAGATTACCAAAACAACTCTAACAAGCCATCATACTTAGAAAAATACTTCAATTTCCACAAGCTATGTAAGTACTATTTTTTATATTATAATTTATTAAATTTAACATCTAAACTTCTTTTTTAAAACTGTTATGACTTACCCGGTTGATATGGTAAACGTCAGTTTGAGTGTGCCGTCGATTGGTTTCTTATAGAAGACGGTTAAAGAAAATTGATAGGTTGGGTTCGTTCAGGAATCAACACAAGTTCATCGAGATACTACTAGTTTATTTATATGAGACGGTTTACAACAGAACTATTATATATACTTAAATTAATTAATATATCATTAAACGTATTGTAACTTCGAGGTGTAACACTCGACCGACGTCGCATTGTAAGACATATTTCCGCGACTGCGGTCAACATATACTACGTAAACAAAAACTACTACTTAAAAACAGTTGTTCATAACACCCCCCGGGTATAATGAAAGTTCATCGTCCATTAAAATTAAATATACCAGGGCGAGGGACTTTCTGGTGAAGTTAACTCGTTTCTGTTGAAAGTGAAGCTTGACGGACTAATGATTTTAGCATTAATATAATAAGTTATAACACGACAATATGATTATGTATAAGTATAATATATAATAACGTACAACTTTACAATTAAACTGTGACTGTACACACACACCTCGTACACTCAGTAAGACAGCGTCTGTGCAAGTGATTATAACATACATCAAAAGCAGTATTTATATGAACAATCGGGGACATCCCGTATCCGTATATAATATAGACAGCGATAGTAAAGGCGTTGCACAGCTATATCGTAACTGCATATTGGGAAACGAAATTGTACACACACGTGTGTTTACATGGTTTGAATACTAATAATTAATTGTATATTTCAACACCCTCCCTCAATTAATAATTTCTTTAATTGTAGTCACTCCTACAGCTGACCGCAATTTCTCGAAACGTTCCTTGACCAAAGGCTTTGTTAGAATGTCTGCAATTTGATCCTCTGTTCCAATGTACAGTAGTTTAAATTGTCCTTCTTCGTATTTCTCTCGTATGAAAGCTTATCGTACGTCTATGTGTTTTGTCCTCTTATGAAACTCCGGATTCTTAACTAAACGAATAGCACTCTGATTATCAATGAATAATACCGGTTGTTTATCACCTGTTTTTGATAAGCTTACTATCACCACAAGCTATGTAAGTACTATTTTTTATATTTTTATTTATTAAATTTAACATCTAAACTTCTTTTTTAAAATAAAAAAATAAAATAAAATAGAATAATAAAAATGTATCGTTGTAATGAAAATATAGTTTTTATAATATTACTAGAAACCCTAATATCAATATCTACACACTATGCGATGAAGTTAATTCCAACATTAAGAAGGATATGCTTGAACTAACGGAAAATATAATATACCCTCTAATCACAGATCGTGCAATGAAGGCCAAAATAAAATTATTAACTAACCTATTGTTTAAGACCCTCCCTCCTTCCAATTCAACCATATAAAAACATACTCATTCCATATCCCATATAAAAATGACCTTCTTTATACAATGGAATATTAACGGCTTCTATAAACGGACAGTCGATATCAACCGTATTGTACATGACTTTCAACCTAAAATTATCTGTTTCCAAGAAACCAATCTTAAGAATAACCACACTGAACACATCAAACTCCTGAACTACTCAGGTTTTTTTAAAAACAGAACTTTCGCCAACAGAGCTAGTGGCGGCGTTGCCACCTTCATTAGTAATACTCTTAAAAGCGAAGACATCCCAATAGTGTCAGACCTTGAAGTAACAGCTACACTCGTAAAATTTGCGAAACACCTATGCATATGCAATATATATATTCCGGATAGTAAAATCTTTACAAAACTTCACCTCACATATATTATATGTCAACTCTCTAAGCCCTTCGTACTCTTAGGTGACTTCAACAGCCGCAACATAGCTTGCACACTGATGATTGGGGGATATCAGTAGAAGAATTTCTTGACGATGAGTCTCTTCTCCTCATCAACAATAATGAACCTACATTATTATCATACTTATAGACTTACTTTTGTTAAGTTATGTTTAAATAAAATAAATAATACGTTACAATTACACGACTGTGTTCACGGTATAGAAGATAACTGCTGCATCATAGATTTACATTGATAAGATAGAACGTTGGGCTTATCAACCATCAATAAAGTGTATACATTTTTGTGGTTATAAGAGTTCCTTATTATTATTGATAGTTATTGTAACCTAACCTCAAAAAATCTGACTGAAATAGTGCACACTGGACACTGTACACTGGTGTACACTGACCGATACCGTGCATTTTAGCGGTGTGAGAAATTATGTGATTATGGTATCAGTGTTTGCGTGTAGTGTTCACTAGTGCAGTCAGATGAAAACGGTATTACGGTTATCTAGTTGTATATCTATAGTCGTATGATACCTTGTTTTATCAACGTTAAAATACTTTTGTGGCGACCCCCACAACGCTTATCACGGCGATCCCCGCGCTCGTCATGGCCCACCTCAACAGCGGTCGTTCGCCGACCGCCACCAGTCTGTTTTCCCACGTCTACACTTGCACATGTCAACGCGACTAAATATTTTTATTGAGCTATGTAACCAAACACGTGTAATTATTTTTTGTGTGATAAATTTATTTTGTAAACATTTTATTCTCGCCTCGTAGTTCATTGAAGGTAACCTTTTCCCTGTTGTGGCCTATCGTCATTGGTGATAGGGGGAAATCACTGCAGTGCAGTAACCAAAGCCACACTTTCGTTGATTATGAATATTTGCTATTGATAATGTGATTGTAGTACTATACGTGTAATATTATCGTACGTAAGAAAATGTTTTAATTTAAAAAAAGTTTTTTTTTAATATATTAAAATATTAAATAATGTTTATTGTCTAGATAATGAAAAATATATATCCTAAAATGTATATAATATATAAATTTAAATTATTTTTTCTATAATATAAATGTTGTTGCTTTTACAATGAGATTGTTCGAAAGCCGCGGTCACACGTTGATAGTAAACACGATAGTTGCTTTCACAACAACGTTATGTTACCGCCCGAACTCTATGATAGTTACTATCACGCTATCTACGATTAAAGTAGTATAGATTTGTATGTTCACAGTCTTTTTTTTGTGTCACCACGGTAATTTCACAACGTTCAAGGGAGGATGTCCAACTTGAACACAATAATTTTACCGTGTAAAAATTATGAAGAATTTACACACTTTTTACACGGTAATTTCACACCGTTCAAGCGAAAATGTTCCCCTTGGACACAATAATTTTACCGTGTAAAAATTATGAAGAGTTTGCACACTCAAACAAACCTTATTACTAAAATGAAATAATTATTTAAAATACAGAACACAAGTTATGTAATAATAGATTTTTTTATTATTGAAAATTAATTCTTAAATATATTTACACAAGTTTTCTTACTTCTCTAGTAAAAGGTACATATTCTACAATACGATCATGAATTAATAAACAATAAGCAGTTACACCTGTAAGCGAATCTGAAGCTTCAATTTCCAATTGAACATCCACTGCTGAGGCTGTGGCTGAATCGTTCTGTTTTGAAGTGTCGATAACTATAATTGGTGCGTTTGCTACAAAAGTAGAAGGACTCAATATCGGGTTACGAATACTTTTTTCATAGTACGATTCTTGAAAAGAT